ATATATATGAAAGTGAATGAAGTCTTACTTGGAGTGTAGGGCGGGTAGTTGAGGTTGTTTGCAACACAACCCTTATTTGACCCTTTCACAAAACTAGACACCTCGTTCATGTCCTGAAAAGTATGAAAGAAAAGAGTAAAGTTGTTAATACATTGTTAATGTGTGTACAAGTACAATTGAGTGGTACAGCAGCACAGTGATCAGAACTCAGAAAACAAGTAAGTAAGTAAGTAAGTAAGTAAGTAAGTAAGTAAGTAAGTAAGTAAGTAAGTTAGTAAGTGAGTTAGTAAGTGAGTTAGTAAGTAAGTTAGTAAGTAAGTTAGTAAGTAAGTAAGTAAATAAATAAATGGTTGCAGGATTGCCCTTCAGGCCCAGTGCCTTTCTTGGTGGAGTTTATACTGTATGTTCTTCCTGTGCACGTGGGTTTTCTCCAGGTACTCCAGTTTTCTCCCACAAACCAGAAACATGCATGCTTGTTCCACCGGTAACTATAAATGGCCCTTATGTGTTGACCCTGAGATGGACGTGAAACTTTTCCAGAGAGTACAATGACTCCCAAACAACGACTGCTGGACAAAGGCTCCAGTTCCCCATGACCAAAAAAAGGAGAAGTGTGTAAAGAAGATGGTTGGAAGCATGGATAGATCTAAAATTGTTGTGGTATTGTATAGTTTTCCCTAAATTCCTAACATACTGTATACTCTAAGTCATACTAGAATGAGAGAGATGTTCGCACAAAGCAAAGAAGACACACAAAGCAGGGAACAATTTGCATTCTGTCAATAAACGTTCTGTTTTAACTTGTTGTGTATCTCTAGGTATTTAGGATCACTATACTAAAATAATGCATTGGATTTTTTTACATGCCATTTGTTTTTTACTATTTAATAATAAGTATCTCTAATCTCTAAGTATCTCAACCTCAGTTGAGCAAAAGTCTCAGTAAAAGACTGAGATGGACATTGTACATATGTGAGTGTGTACATGGGAGGGAGAAGAAACTATTATGGTAATGAGTATATCTACAGTGAATTTCCAGCTAACAAATCATTAACAGTGTATAAATTCCTCTGCTTTTTGTGTGTGCCAAGTTTCTCACTGCTCTGTTGTTCAACCCTCAAAAAAGTAATTGCTAGTGAAAATGTCAGAAATGTAGGCTCATTGTCCCTGTGTGTGCATGTGTGTGCTTGTAATTGGCTTCAATATCATGCCTGGTTTGGAAATTTGCAGCTATTGAGCAGCTAATTACTGAGTTCACTTCATGTTTCTGAAACAGACTTACAATCCAGAGGGCATCGTGTTTGATCTCCTTGTAGAGTCGCTCATACTCATCAACCCACCAATCGATGCAGTTTTGGGAGGTGTAGTCTGGGAAGACCGTCTCCCCCGGCCAAACCTGCAAGGGAGGGAATGTAAGATAACGGTTTGTTTACAAGCAAAACAAACATTTTCAAAACGATCTTGGATAAAACTAGGAGAARATTAGTTTGGCATTGCTGCAAGAGCGTCCCTAATGACAGGATACATTTCAAGTTTTCTTCAAACTTGACAGGAGTTTTTGGTACTAAAACACTGTAGTCATTTCATCCTTTTATTTAAGTGTCAAAAACATCTGGAACATGTCTTTAACCACATGCTAACAACATGACAGGACACATTGAGCAGAAATGTTGTAGGAGTAGAGATCTCTGTGGAAATAAAACACTGTGCCTGTGGGGGTGTTGGAGAGACGGCTTTGAGACGCAGGGATGACAATAAAAAAGAGAACGGGGAAAGGGAGAAATGGACTAAGAGAAAGTGTGGGATTGATGAGGTAGAGCTAGCAAAGGAGAAAGGGATAAAGAGACAGATGAGTCGAGGAAGAGAACAGAGAGGCGAATAAATCGATAATGCAATAGAAATCTCAAGACGTGACTGTGTGTTAGAAGTCGTCCTTAATGACATGTATTGAGAAAAATGATTAATCCACAGGCAGAGGCAGAGATTTCCTTTCTCGCTGTGTGTGTATCTGTGCGTATGCAGGATTTCTGTGTGAATTCTTCTGCAGAGCACAGAGATATTAAATCTCAAGGTTGCTCCAGCTCTGGCTTTCTTTTACCTTCTACTTCTGCTGAAAATAACTTTACAAGCTGGTTCGTAGCAAACGAGTGAATCACCCTTATGCATGTTCACGTGCATACAAGCAYATTTATAGGCTGCTGTTTTTGGCAGGAGGTCTGAACTTCAAGGTCAGAGCTTGTTGATAGACCGTTGCGGATGCCGTTGATCCTTTATGAGTCTTTTTTTTTCATTTAATTTAAGATTTTGTCACGTATAGATTCCTGCTGACACTGACAACAGGGCAAACACTGAAACAAATCTGCTGGCATTTGAAGRGGCATATCTCACTCTTGTCTTTTTGCTGCTTTTATGTCTCCTTTTTGCCATCCTGCCTATCRYTCTKCTTTCTCTTTTACCTGATTCTCAARGTCCCTTTGCCTCTATGCTGTCTTCAATTGGGTTCCTTAACTTGCACCTTGTCTGTGCCTTTGTTCTGTGTACTTGATAATCTGTTCTTTTGTCTTGCTGTGACTGGATTCCTGTGTAAGTCTCTGTCAGCTACTTTGTAAAACAGCCAGCCTGTCTCCAAGTACATTCTAATCTATTATCTACATTCACCGCTAATCTATTATCTCTTTCTGTCTGTGCACTTGTCTTCTTTGTGCCTGTCTCTCATCCTCACCTTTAACCCAAATAAACTCTCTTTATTCTCTCCCAGTTACTTAATTTAGTTCCATATTTTCTTTGTCCTTACCTCTTTGGCGAGGAGAGAAATATTTATCTATACGAGTTAAGCCATTCTGTGATTTTTTTTAAACTCACATGCGGAAACATACTGTATGGGCCATCGGGAAAAAAAAAAAGCTTTTATCCTTATCTTTGCAAGCAATTAGTTGTTTTAAAGGCAAAATAAATACCAGCCTGTCACTGTATTGCCTTCATTGCCATTGCAGAGACAGCAAAGGTTGTTTTTAAAGAACCTGACCGTTTTTTAAGAACACATCATTTGGAAATAAAGTACAATCAGTTATTTCCCACAAATGTCAAGGCACATGTAGTCCAAAAATAGCATGTTYTGTGAACATTGCTAGACACAGATGAACTCGTGAACATTTCCTTTCTTTTTTTTGTTGTTTCTGTCTCTATCTTCCAAATACATAAACACACATCTTAGTCTGTCACGCGGGGACTCCGAACATTTTAAGATTAAACACTAATGCAGAATCAATGCCTATGTTTGACCTGTTCGTAAACAGAATAATAAAAGTGATTTGTGGAGCATGCTAGGCCTAATCGTCTGTGTAATCAAAGGCAACACTTTAAAAGCATGAAAGCAACATACTCCTGTCTCCTACCACCCTAACCTCCTACCTTTACACTCAGCAGGGAAGAGCCTTTTAAATGTATGCTCTTTGGAAAAAGGATTAGGAAAAAAAACATGATGGGTGCTTGAACTTTCCTTTAGGAAAATAAAATGACGTAAGACTATTTGTAAGCCAACCACACACATAAAAGCACATTTCTAAATGTAGATTTATTATGCAGATCTGTGTTGGATATAAAAAGTAAACATAGTAAGTTACTGTAAATAAATAACTAATTGGAACAAAACAAAACAAAAAACAAACTACCACAGTTTGATTATTCTAATGGAAAGAGATGGTTTTAATGTTGATTCTCTTCTGAACATTTAAACAAATAAATGGGTCATCAGCATCAATGTGTTGTATTAAACTAAATCAAATAATCACCATGATAGCAATGTCTTGACTGGATAAAAGGGAAGCCATGACTTTGACTGTTTATTATTTTTATTTTAGATGCAATTAGAATTTAAAAACACAACATAATGAGACGACGTGAGTTGTTCAAACTACTAGACATTGGGGGATTATTATGGCACAGTCTACACTACTGAACATCTACAAAAAAGAATGAAAAAAACATTTTTGAGTATTTGACAAAACAATAAAGAAATAAAGAAATACGTACTTTCAGAAGTAGAGATTTTCATAAACTGTTTTGGATGTGTTCAAGTGGACGTGAGATACAGAAATGTTAATCTTTTCAATTATTCAAAATTGCCCACAATTACATTATCCCTTAAAAACAAAACAAAACAAAACAAAAGCAATACATTTGTATGTTGACTTGTCCTGTCATTTAATTGTCATTTTATAACACTGCCTAACTCGGAACAAAAACTATGTGCTGCACAGACTAAAATTAGACACAATTTTAAATAATACAAAAAACTCAAACACGTTTTTGGCGGATCTGTATTCATGCTAAGAATGTTCTTCCTCTGTGTGTCGACCTGTCTTTAACATGGACATTCCCGCAGCTAGTGGTGTGGTAAAGTTAAATTAAACTTTGTTTTTCCTTTCATTTATGGGAAGTTGCTAAAAAATGTGTAGTCTAGACAAGCTATAAAATTGTCAGCTGATAATGTTAGCTTCAGCAGTAAAAAAAAAAAATCATTTTACCTTTAATTCTGTATAAAACCAATAACTATGTCTAATTGTGAGGATTAGGCATGAACAGACCCAGGGCGCAGGCAGGCTCCAAAAGTAGAACAAAAATTTATTTTAAATAACAAAAATGCTGTAGAGACAGCTGAACTTACACTAGGCACGAGGATCACACAGGCAGGGGGAACAAAGCACAGAGAACCAGAACCAACACATCAAACACAATGATCCGACACAAGACTGAGACAGGACAGGGCTTAAATACACAGAAAACTAATTA